CCGAATGATTCTCATAAAGGAATGGAAGGATTTTGGTCTATAGCTTTGTGGACAGTTCCCATTTTGGCCAACCAAAGAGTTGGTCTAATATCTTAGATGTTTAATCTAAAAATGTTGTCCTGACTATATATTCCTTTTACATAACAAAATTTATCCTTCTCAGAATGGTTCTCAAGAAGGTTCTCAAGAGGGTTCTCATAAAGATTCTCAAGGAGGTTCTCAGAATGGTTCTCAAGAGGGTTCTCATAAAGATTCTCAAGGAGGTTCTCAGAGTGGTTCTCAAGAAGGTTCTCAAGAGGGTTCTCAGAATGGTTCTCAAGAAGGTTCTCAAGAGGGTTCTCATAAAGATTCTCAAGGAGGTTCTCAGAATGGTTCTCAAGAGGTTTCTCATAAAGATTCTCAAGGAGGTTCTCAGAGTGGTTCTCAAGAGGGTTCTCAGAATGGTTCTCAAGAGGGTTCTCATAAAGATTCTCAAGAAGGTTCTCAGAGTGGTTCTCAAGAAGGCTCTCAATGGTTCTCAAGGATGTTCTAGAAATGGTTCTCAGAATGGTTCTCAAGAAGGTTCTCAAAATGGTTTGCAAGAAGGTTCTCGAAATGGTTTTCAAAAAGGTTCTCGAAATGGTTCTCAGAATGGAACAGAACGTTTTTGTAATGTATTGGGTCAATAGCTGTGTGGATAGTTCCAATTTTGGCCGACCATGAGGAGTTAATCTGAGATGTTTAAGTAAAGAATGTTTCCATGACTTTAACCCTTTTAGATTACAAATATCATCTGTTCTCAGAATAGTTCTCAAGACAACAAATAATGAATTTTGTGCCAGGCAGGTGTTCTAAGGAGGTGGTCTATAACCTGAGATGTTTATTCTAAAACAGTTTCCATGATTTTAATCCCTTGACAATAGAAGAATTATAGTTCTCTAATCGGAAATGAAAAATTGGGTATGAGTAATGCTCATCGACAAACATTCTGAGGACAGTTGTGAAGACAGTTCTTATTCTGACCCACCTTGAGAAGATGGTTCTGAGAAAATGTCTATTTAATAATAATGCACTAAAATTATAGCACTTTACTCATTGATTTCAGGTTCTCAATTTCCATCGAATAAAATAATACCCTCGACCAGATGGCAAGTTCTCATGTGAATGAAACATATTGGTCTCATAAAATAGTTAATAAAGTGTATGTTTTATATGAGTTTTGTGGAAATAAAACCTATTTGCTGATCGAATTAATGATTCAATTACGTAACAAATACATC